TTTCACCTGAGACTCCTGTAACTTTGAAAGGCTATTTGAGTTAAGTAGCTTCTCCAGGGCCTTTTTCTCCCAGGGATGTTGTGCCTGGGATTTTAGCTTCTGGAGGTCTTTTTCTTCTACGTGTTGTAAGGCCTGTGCACAGGTCACACCCAGCTGTTCCTGCAGCTTTGGCAACCAGTACTCAACTGACAGTCCTACTCCTCTCAGCATCTCTTGGAGATCTTGCCCACTTTTTCCTCTGACAAGGGGCTCATCAGACATGGAGTGTTCTGTGTCCATCACTGTGGAAAAAAGTGACACTCACTTAGCCTCTGTCATGAACTTAGGAAGTGTCAGCCACCTCAAAATAAGGATAAGAGTACTAAAGATGCAAGTTTCTTCCCTGGCAGGTGTGTTTAATGGTTAGAGCATTAGCCCGAATACCAAAGGGTCATAGGTTTGATTCCTGAACAAGGGCTGTACCAGGGTTGTGGATTTGATCCCTGCTCCTAGTTGGGCAGGGGTATGGGGTGGTGGTGGTGGTGGTGGTAGGAGGCAACTGGTGGATGTGTCTATCTCACAGTGATGTTTCTCTCACTCTCTCTTTCTCTCTCTCTCTCCATTCTTTCCTTCCTTTGCCTCCCTCCCTCTCTTTCACATTCTCAGAAAAGCTATGGAAATAATATCCTCAGGTGATGATTAACAACAACAATGAAAATATGCAAGTCTTTAAGGCTTTCTCATCCTTTCCTTTCATTGTTTTATAAAACATATTAGTGTTTTAAAAAAGGAGTCTCACCCACCTTTTCATCTAGTAATAGGCAGAGGACTTCAGCATGGGCTATGAATCCAGCAAAGCCAGCAATTCTGCCCAAACCATCTTAGCATGGTTGAAAAAATACCTTTTTAATGCCTACCTTGGCAGATACCCGAAGATGAGAGAGAATTTGCGGAAGTCCAGTCTTTTCAAGGGTAGATTGCAGCATGAATTTGGGGACATTGCATGGGTTGCACTATCAGATGGTGGCAATTTCTCCAGTGTGGAAAAGGTGAGAGGTTAGTGAGTGCCTGGCTACTCAAGTTGTGTGGGACATGACTTGAGAAACACATTGCTTTCCAGCAGCACTCAGTGCTGTAGCGGGACCTTCATGACCAGGGGAAGGAAAAGATGGGAAAGAAGCAGAGAAGAATATCAAAGAGCATTAAAGGGATAAGGTTCCTGCTGATTTTGCTTGGACTTCAGCAGGAAGGCCTTCCATGTCCCTCTGAGAGAACCTCACCTGAGGATCTCCCTTTTAGGTCAGCAGCTGCTAACAAATGCCCCAAGTGCTAAGCTCAAAACTCCCCTTTACTGTGGCCACCCCTCCTTGTGTGAACTCTTGTGTTGAGCAGTGAGAGCTAATCTGGAAAATGTAGTGGAATCTGAAAAGCACACTAGGATCTGTGTGCAAGGGAGAAACTACACACTTGGACTATATCACCACCTTCTGGAAAACAAAAGAGAAATTGCCAGTAACCAACCTGGTGTGTTGTAAGAACTAGAGATGACTTAAAAGCTTAAGAATTCTGCCACAGTGAGAGCAAGCAGAGTGGAGTAGGTGTACCTATAGAAAAGCAGAAAAAAAACCAGATACAGTGGGGCCTTGACTTACGAGTTTAATTCGTTCTGAGACCGAGCTCATTAAGGAGCTCGTTAACTCAAATTACTCTGTCAACTCAAAGCAAAAAATCGGCCGAGAGACAGCTGGTATCTCAAAAAACTCGTTAGTCGGGACACTCATAAGTCAAGGCCCCACTGTACAGGCAAAGTAAGTCTGGGAAATCTGGTTCCAATTAGCCTGGGTGATACTGTACAAAACCACTAGGTAAATAAAACTTTTATTTTCCTCTCTCCAAATCAAGGAAACACATCATCACCAAAAAACAATAATTTTCTAATAACCTAGCTTAAAATCATGGAATTTTGTGACTTGGCTGACAAGAAATCAAAATAACTTTTTGAAAAAACTTAAGAAGCAACAAGACAACTAAAAAAGAAAATTTAACAAAATCATGGGAAAATATGTGAACAAAATGAGATATTTACCAAAGAAATAGAAATCATTCTGAAATTGTGTAATTTAAATTTAATGAATTAAATAGTAAAGGCAATAGAGAATCTTTGTTTAAGAGTAGAGCAAATAGGAGGTAGAATAAGTGAGTTAGAGGGCAGGAATTTTGAAACAATCCAATTTTCAAAGAATAAAGCAGAAAGAAAAAGATCCAAGATAGTAGCAGAGTACCTATAAGTTCCATTCATTTCTTCCCAGTTTCAAACCAGAATTACCACTAAATTATAAAATAATCAACCTGAATAACCAACTGAATATTATCTCAACAGATGACTCATAACTAAGATATAGTATAGAAGAAACCACATTGAGACTAGTAGGAAGGGTAGAGACACAAAAAGGGCTGGCCCCTCCCAAGTGTGGTGTTTGAGAATCTGGAGGGATATAGGTACTCCATGAGAAGTAAGGTGTCTCAACCTGGTCAGCCTGAGCCTGTCGTGCAGACTTTCTTGGAAGGCTCTTGAAGAGATCTGGGCAGACTCTGGATGGTGGAGATGAATGTGGACAATCTGAGCTATGTAGCTTTGGAATGAGGGCAATTTACCACTTGCACATCCAACTGGCCAAACTGTTTTTGTGCAGAGCCCTCCCTCCACATGACCAGATCTTGGTCTGTTTTAGCCTTATGATCTCTACTGGCCTCACCTAGAAGACTTCCCAAGACTCTGTCCCACCACAAAGGTCCACTGACCCCTGGCAGGTGCCTCAGGTCTTGGTGTACCCTGAAACTTGCTGAGTGGCACCACACCTAGCATAGGCACTGAGTTTCAATCTATATCAACATGTTGAATATCACTCGCCCCTACCTGGTACTCACTGAAAACCTACCTAACTCAACTTGTGTATAGCTAGAGGCTCTTTCAGTGACTGAGCCTAACAGGCCACTGGTAGATGAAGGAGGATATCAGGGTGCCTTGGGTCTTTTGTTAACCTGATCCTAGGTCCAGTGCTGGTGGGAGCCAGCTTCTGTACACAGCTTGGCCTCTCCCACATGCACCTAGGCTTAGAAGAGGCAGCCACAAGTTGTGGGTCCCTTATATCTTCAAACAGATAGCACAGGCCTGTTCACAAGAGGTGCCTGACATTGACCTGCATCAGAGTCACTCCCAAGAGGCTCCAGAACCAAGACACATATAATCAAAATGCCAAAGGTTAAAGAGAAATATAGAGTCTTATAAGTTATAAGAGGAGAAACCAAGATGGTGGCATAGGTAAACACCTGAAATTGCTGCCTCGCACAACCACTTCAAAATTACAACTAAAAGACAAAACGGACATCATCCAGAACTACAGGAAGGGTTGCTGAGTGTAAATTCTACAACTAGAAGGAAAGAGAAAAGCACACTGAGACTCAGAGGAGGTGCGGAAGTAAAGTGCTGAGGTACGGAGGCGCACGCGGAAAGGGCTGGCAACTGAGGACGTGGTTGTCTTTTTCAATCAGGACGGAGACACAAGCTCCCGACTGCCCTGAACTCCAGTTCCAGGTGAGTCTCTGGGGACCCAGACTCATACAGGGAGAAACTGGACTGTCTGGCATCGGGCAGAACTCTCAGGCGGCTTTCTCTCAGAGGGGCTTGCAGCGATTAACGCAGGACACTGAGACCCGAGGCATCTTAGGGCAGGGCTGAGGATCAGCCATAGCTGTTTGCTCCTCCCTGTTGACTCCCTGAGACCCCGCCCTACCCACACTGTGGGCAGAGGCTTTTGCATATGAATGGGCTGGCCCTTTGCAATCTAAAATTACCCAACTAACTGCAGCTAGGTCAGAGAGACCCAGAACATCCAAAAGAAGGCCC